TTTTGGGAAAAGACTAAATGTTCAGCAATGTAGTTTGTTAGGGAAAAAGTTCAACAGAAGTTGTAGACATGGAAAAGGGGTTTGTTGTCCTAAAGGGGAAGAGAAATATTGATCAAAACAATTGTCAGTGCAATATTAACATATGTGATAAATTGCTTCAAGCTGCCAAAAAATATATGTAAAGAAATTAATGGGGATATGGCAAGATTTTGGTGGGGACAAAAATTGGATGAGAAGAAGATCCGTTGGGTAAAATGGTAGAAACTAACAATGAGTAAAAGTAAATGAGGGATGGGATTTAAAGATCTAAACCTATTCAACAAAGCATTGTTGATAAAACAATGTTGGAGAATCATAACCAATCTTGAGGCTTATTAGGTGAGGATTATGAAAGCATTATACTTTCCTGATGATTTGTTTTAAATGCTAGAAAAGGTGCAAGAGCATTATGGGCATAGTCTATAGTATTTAAGAAGGGAAAGATTTAGTAAAAGAATAAATTTGCTAACAAATGATGAATGAGGAAAGTATCAAAATTTGGAAGGATCGATAATAAAATTATAAGGGAACAGTTGCCATAAAAAGTTTGAGGAACTAATAGATAAAGAAAGGGACTGTTGGAAGTTGGACTTCATGTAGAGTATTGTATCAGCTAAAGTCATAGCAAACCAATTGGGATGGACAAGGGTGAGGATCGAATAGGGTGGCCATCGGCAAGTAATGGCATTTTATATTATAAGGAGTGGCTACCATGCATGTAAGGAAAGTGAAATGCAAATATGCATGCCAAAACAATCGTCCTCACATGAGGTGGACAATGAGTTATGGTGCTTGCAGTAGAAATTGAAAATTCCACATAAAATAAGAAACTTTTTATGGAGAGTCTGCTCTAATGCTTTAGCAACAAGGAAGAATCTGTGGCAAAGAAAAATATGTGAGGAGCCAGTAGGTGTTGTATGTGGAAAAGAGAAAGAAATAGTACATGTTTTATTATTATGTGAATGGGTGAGGGGTGTGTGGTTTATGTCAGGACTGGGTTATAAGGTTGACAAAAGGAGAATCACAACTGTTGATTGCTGGCTTAAAGAAGTATTAACAATGGGGGACATTAAAGAAGAAGTAAAGAGCTATTTGGGCTAGTGGCCAATAAAACCTTAAGAAGATGGCTGTGGTTTGACCTAGCTTTCCCCTTTTTCTTTTGTATTCTCCCTAAAAAAATAAAAAAAAATAAAAAAAGCTATTTGGCATTTGCAATCCAAAATTAAATTTTCGATTTTTAATTTCCCATAAGGTATAACATGGTTTTAAAGTATATAGTACAATTTATTATGTAGATGTTGTTTTAGATGGTTTCAAAATAGACACTATTTAGCTAATTTTTTTAAATATGAAATATATTTTATTAAAAATTTAGAAAAACATAAATATTTTTATTACAATATTCTTTTAAATATTTTTATAATTTTCTCAACTTAATAAAAAAAATAATTATAGTACTTTGTGTAAAAATTTTTTTGAACTTGTTACGAGGGCATAATTAAATAAACAATTAAATCAAATTATTTAATTTTGGTTTCATTTCCATCAGTAATTCCATCTCACTTTTTAATTTATTTTCCTTTCACATATATTAAAAAAGTTTTGATTTTTTTTATGTAATTGAACAAATAATATGAAAAAAATTGGTGAAAAAAAGAGAAAAAAATTCTAAGAACTCGATCTTAGGTTTTAGTTAATAATTGGATATTTTTTATTATCTATTTTTCATACTAAGGAAATTTGCCAAAAAATAATGTAACAATTTATAAAATAGAATAATTATATAAATTTAGGGGTGTTTATTCGGTTGTTAGGTTAATTTTGAATCGAATTATCCAAAATTAAATTAATTAAATTAAATTATTTTATTTTCTTTAACCGAATCAAATTTATTAATTTCAAAAATTAACCAACATAATTTAATTCAATTGGTTCGATTAAGTTTTTTAAATAATCGAATAATAAATATATTTAAATTATATTTTATTTTAAATTCTTAATTTCTTATATTTTAAACAAATTAAATAAAATTATTCAACAAAATATTCAAACATAAAAAATATTATGTTAAAAACTCTAACAACTTTTGAAAGAAAATGATCAATTTCATGTATTTTTTATTGTATATTTGAATTATATTATATTTCAATTAAAATTTTAATTAATTTAATTTTTGAACCAAATTAACCGAAAATTAAAATTCTTTCAAAATTATTTTTGTTAATTGATCAAAATTAATTTGATAATCAATCAATTAATCAAATTAAACCGATTCAATTAATTAATTCGATTAAATCGAATTATTAACACCTTTATATAAAGCATCTAAATGAAGCCCCTAATTGAAACCTTTGCTCCTCTTTCTATTTCTCTGTCTCGAGTAAAAGCTTTCTCTTCTAGCATATTCAATGAAAGCTCTCAATTTATTTCAGCTGATAACAAATACAAAGTCTAGAACTCGTTCGTTCTGCCAAAGAGTAAAGGGCAAAAAGCACAGAGATAGATGAAGAGAAGAACCCCAGACCGGTGAAAGAAAGTTAAGGCATTCACAAGAATTCATTTCTATAATCAACACTTGAGGTTCGTGGGAATGGACAATTATGTCTAGTACAGCCTCGTTCTTGCTCTAAAAGTTGGCGGTTGTTAGATTTGATAATTTGTATATTTATATATTTATATTATATGTTATATAAAAATTATATATCATAATTCGTATCGATACGAAAATATAAAATATATTTTTTTAATTTTATTAAATTTATTTATAATTTTATTAAAATTTTAAATCATATTATTTTTATATTATATTTATATCATATCATCCTCTCTTATTTTAAATTATCAAATTTAACAGTAGCATACCTTTTGCCGGCCCATTTCCTGAATCACTCATTAGCAAATGTTGGATTACTCGCTGGAGAAAGCGTGCAGCTTGGAACGGAACCTGCTTCCAGATTGGCCAAAAGTGAAACTTTGCATGGGTGGGGAAAAGAATCATTAACTCTGATCAACAACAATGCCCAATTAACACAGCCTGGTCAACCAAGCAGTGAACATAGCCCCATCAGGTCAATGTCGCCTTAGAACGAGTTAGCTCAACCAAACCAATTCTTCGGAATTTACATTAGTTTTTTTGTTAGAGAAATTTTAGCAACTTGCGAAGGTACTGACTAAAAAATTGAATTTATAATCTAACTTTAGATCAATCTTGGTACACCTATTTATCCGAACAATAAAGTCAACTTTTTTTATCATCAAGTCAACATACATTTAACCGTCACATCATTTCATCTTAAAATTTGTTTGATCATTTTTAAGGAGAGGCTCGTTTTATTGATCTTTTATCAAGTCATCATTTTATAACTCAATATTTGATTTTTAATTTATCTAAAATTATTAAATGTAGTCTATATTTGATTGAAAACATTAAATGTAATTAGTAATCACTCACGTAAACTCTCTTTAAATTTAATGTAAACTCGTTATCGATGGTCAACTATATCAATCAAATCATTACTTTTTTATTCATACATAACATAAAAAAAAAAATCCAATTACGTGAGACTTAAACATTATCTCTTTTTTATAACATCCTTAACACACTTTACCTCATTTCTTGTCAAATCTTAAACATTGTATTAACTTAATTGTCGGAACACATCTCAAAAGATCAGTTCCGACCTCATTGACCATATTTTCGGATTGCAGGTTTCTCATGCTCAGCCTCCAACCAGCTTCCCTTCAGATAAGACACTAAAAAAACACCATCAACAAATCTTTAATTAAAAAAAAAAAACTAATTAACTTTTTTCTTCTAGTTTGTTTGTGTAACCTCATTAATCCTAATGACTTATAAGATTAAACTGCAAGGAAGGACTTTTAGTATCCGATGAAGAATTATAAGTTAGAGTGAATTGATAATAGCGGCTAATGGTACAAGAAAACAATTTCAAAAACCCTAATAATTCAGACAAATAAGCTGGACGCATTCAACAACTAAAAAGAACCCTGTAATCGCTGAAAATAAAATAAAATATTTTTACATATTAAATACCTCACTTTTACACAAAAAACCTCACTTGAATTATTATTATTATATATATTTTTTTCTTTTTCTCTCTTAAACTTGTAAGTTTGAGATATTAAAAATATTCCATTTTTATTTGAATTATTATTACTATGTCTCAAAATTTTATTTTATATAGTAAATATATTCTAAATTAGCAGTATTATTTTTTTAGAGAAATTAGTAGTATTATTTATGCTTATTAAATCAATAATATAAAACAGATAAATTGTGTGGGTAATAAAAAGACAAAAAATATTTCTCATTTTATCCACTTGCCGGTAAAGGTGAACATAAATAAGTTTTAGTTGATTACAAGTTAATTCAATTAATTCCATACTAACCGATTAATTCGATTAATTATTGATTTAAAAAAATTTTAAATTTTAAAAAAGCTTATAACAAAATTTTAAACTTAATTTTTTTTTCTAACAATATTTTTTAAGGTAGCAATCAATCATTATTCTCATTGCAGCTAAATATAATTCCTGCATCAAAATATAATTTCCTCAACCAATGTCGGCGCTAAAGTGATTGATTTGAGTATTGGTTTACAAGCTTTTTTTTTTTTTTTTGTGGTTAAGAAAATTTTAAGATAAATAAATTACTTAATTTTTAAATCAAAATAAAATATACCACACCCAACACCTTAAAACATGTGATTACTTGTACATTTGAGATAATTTTTACAAGTACAACACTTAGAGAGCTGAGCTAGTGATAAAAATCCAATAAAATATGAATCGAAACTTAACTCCTATTAGTTTATGAAATATGTAATAATTCTTTTTACTATTTTCAAACTGCGACCTCCCAAAAAAAAAAAAAATCAAATACAATGTCTGCTGTCCGTCCATCTAAGAAATTTAGAGGCTGAACAATCTACATCAACATGTTGACAACAGTAAAAAGAGTACAACTCATGAAAATTATGAAGAAGAAGATAATGGGTTTATCACCGAAAAAACATAAAAATCAGCAATGCAAAAGTTAGATACACAATGAACATGCATGTCTAAGCCAATACCTCAATTAGATTTCAATGGGTTAGGCAGGCGTTTCTATCTTATTCCATCCCTATCTCCATTGACCAGAACTCCCAAAACTGTACCTAAATTACCTGATCTGCCTTATCTACAGTTATGTTACATTCCTTGAGTAGCTTTGGTGCAACTATGATAACATATGGCATGTTTGTCTATTGTGTCCAGCTCCTTGGCACTTGCTACAATGCAGTGGCCGCTTAAAGGGTCCTTTATGTATATATTTTTTCTGTCTCTTCTTAGGACGAACAGAGATATGATAGAGAGCAGGAGGGCGTACTTCAATTGTATAGGATTTCTTTTGAACTGCCATATCTACTGTTGCAACTGGATTTATGGAGTTTGAATATGTTGACCGGAAAGCATTGACGGTGAAGTACTCAGAGCAATAATCATATAATCTCCTTTCTGATTGTTGAAGGACAGCAATGGCATGGCAACATGGAAAACCTTTCAATTGCCATTCCCTGCAGCTACATTCCCAGAGATCAATGTTCACCATATTTACTGCACCCAAACTGTCACAGACCTCAAATGTGCTGCCTAGTGATACTGGCACTTGACAGATGTTAGCTTCCCGAATCTGTTGTTCTAATTTGAGCTCCACAGCTGGGGTTAATTTTGTCAACCACTGACTTGAATCCGACCGTTGGATATTCATCAACTCCATCATCTTATAGCAGATTGTCTCGATCAATTTAGCAATCGATATAACCGGAAGTTCAGTTACCCAACCATAAAATGTCTCAGCAACATCAGATGAAAAATATCCATATCGTGCACCTTGAAAAAAAGCATTTGCCCAGTGTTCAGGTCCACTTTGCAAGATCCATTCACAAGCCTCGGGTAAAATATTTCTGATGTTTTCAATCGATTTTCTGAATCCGACAAGTGCAGTTGCACGAGCAGCATCAAAGAAATGTGCAACAACTACTTCAAGAACTTCTTCAGTACAAGAGCCATTGAGATCCCTTTTTAATCCATCTGCCAGACGACGGAGACAATAACCATGGTGCGAATTCTTAAAGATCATGGAAATAGGTTTTTCTAACCTTATCTGTCTATCTGCCACAAACGTTACCGGTTGGAACATTGAAAGTGCCGATTTCAGTTGCACCAAAAACCAATGCCAATTATCATCATTGACAACATCAACTACAGCAAAAGCAACAGGGAAAATGCCCTCATTTCCATCCAAAGCTGTAGCAGTCAGCAGCTCAGAGTGATATTTCGATTTTATGGTCATAGTGTCAAGGAAAAGAAGGGGACGACAACCATTCTTGAAACCATGTAATGAAGCTTGCAAGGAAACAAATAGACAATGGAAGCTTAAGTCCTCCCTGGTGACTAGAGTTGCTACGCTACCAGGATTGTTCTCCATGATCTGTTTAATTAGACTAGGCAACTGATTGTAACCCTCCTCATATGGAACTTGAGGCTTCTCTTTGGCAGACTCTACTCCACGCCATACATGTGAATATCTTGCTTTAAATCCATAATCCTGGTGAATTTCATCAATAATTTCTCTCGGTTTAGCATGTGGGGCATCTTGCAATTTTTCTTTTACAAGAAACTTGACCAATTTACTAGAGACTTTGGGATGCCTAGATGAACTTTTTCCTGCTCCGCATGTATGAGTTTCATTCATCTTTTTAATCAGAAACAACTTTGTGGTAGACAAACTTGCAGCATGAATGCTCCAAGGACAGCCTTCAGCTTTGCAATTAGCGATTACATACCTAGCCTTATTGGTCTTAAAGGTATACTCAAAGCCATGAGCAATGGAGAACTTATTCAGAGCAGAGCGGAAATCATGAACATTATTAAACCGCTGCTCCACACCAGTTAAGCAATTTTCCCATGATTTAACAAGTTTCTTCAGCCTATTATCCTTATCATTAGGAGCATCAGGAGTCAAGTTATTGGTATTGTCCACATATCTGAAAAGAGAAGCCAGCGAATCAAGCTGCTCGGTGTCTCCAGAAACAGAAGCAGCATAAGTAAAACTAGCAGAAGGAGTTACAGGCTCATCCACCACTCTGGACCAACAAAGGTGAGCATCCAATTAAACCATATAGATTAAAAGGGTGATGCAAAATAACAGCATTGATTAACCTTATGGTAGGACCTAGTTGCCTAATGATACTGGCTTGAAGATAAATTTAGTTATAACCACAAGGCATTTTATATATTCCATGCAGGAAACAATATAATTCTTCATCATCTAGACATTGTGAAGTGAATATTACCTACTGTGGGACATTGTCAACTGGTCACTTGTTTGATTCTCATTGGTTAAGACATAAACATCCACGGTTGCAGAGTTTCCATGAAAATCCAGCAAGTGTTGCATGTCTTTGTCATTAGAAATCATGATGAGCGTCTTGTTGTTGTGCGGAAGAAAGTATTTAATGGTCAGAGAATCAGGATCATACTTCCACATCTCTGCCACCTCTGCTTTCAGCTCTTCAAATTTGCTTTCAGTGTTTATACTGATAGCATGAGCATCTCCGCCAGTATATGACAAGGAGCCATCACTACTTAATGTAAACTTTCCCCCCGACCGACAAATAATAATAAGCTTTGCCTTAGCCATGCTTTTGCAAACAGTATAAGAAAAGCAGAACCTAAAAAAAGACCCTTCGCCTGCACCAAAAACATGTAATCAGCAAATACACAATAAGCTAGTCTTTTAGTAAAGGATCAACATGTCTTTAATAATATAGAAACTTGTTACTGAAGATAATTAGTGACAAACTTATAATCTGTCACTTGCTGTTACTAATAACGTCATGATTAAAACCTGGTGACAAGAATTTTAATGATCGTCACTAACAATCAACCATAAACAAAATAAAATTTGTCATTGATAAATACTACCAGCCAGCCAGTTCCAACATAGTGGAGAGGAAAAGGTTTAGAATTGAGATCAAGATCAAAGTATCATTCATTGAGACATTTGAGAAACAAATCCTACCAGACAACTAGTACCGATAAAAGGAGGCATGAGAGTAGCACCTTTTTATCTCACTATTGCAAAAAATTTACTACAAATAATAATGGGGTAATTACTGAAATTAAATAGTTTCAATAGTATTGGAGCTGTGGGAAAACATTTATTTATAGCTGGTTGTAATCTTGTAATCTATATATTTATAATTGTATCTCTAGAATTAAGTATTTGTATTCCTAAAATTAAGGACAAAAATTAGCATAGACAATCCCTCAATTATAAGATTAGTTTTAAGAAAATTTAGTTTTTTTAGTTAGTTGTATATAAACCTAAGAGGCTTGTATGATTCTTTATGAGCAGTTTTTCAATATACATTTAGTTTTACTCTTAGTTTTTCATAGTTTTATTTCTTAGTTTTTCTACATGGTATCAGAACTTTAAGCTCTTCTTAGGAAGAAAATTTTTTCAGCCTTCATTGTTCAATTCTATTTCAGGCCTTCATAGCCAAATCTTGTTAAATCTTTCAATCTTATTTTTTCCTTCTTTGGCCTTCATTGCCTAAAATCGTCTTTGGTTAAACATTTATTAGCAAGACTCGTTTCAGTCTTGAAAAAGATAACTATGCTAGAGATAGCAGAATTTGCCACTACTACCCGATTTGAGGAAGTGATAATTGGTAAAACCATCGGAGTACTATAGAAGTCTCAAGAACAATGAGAGTTGGACAAAGATGAGATTAAGAAACTAAGAAGCCCATTCAAAACTCTCAAAAAAGCCTACTGGAGTATGTTCTTTGGGTAAAGTCTCTAGTTCAAGTAAAGTTTATGGTTCTCATGGATTAAATGTCCTGGTTAAACCTATTACAAGTTTTTGGATCATTGACTTAGAAGTCACAGATCATATGACACATTCCTTACAAAAGTTTAGTACATATACATTCTGTCCTAGTAATAAGAAAACTGTTGTTGCAAATGGTTCACTTACTACAGTGGCAAGATTATGAGATGTTCAAATTAATCTCTTGTTTGTTCTTAAAAATGTTCTTCGTGTTTCTGGATTGTCTACTAATTTGATATCCATACAAAAACTTACCAAAGATATGAATTGCAAAACAACTTTTTATCCCTCTTGTTGTGAATTTTAGGATCAGAGTTCAAAGAAGAGGATTGAACTTGGTAAGGAGAAAGATGGACTATACCATCTTGAGACATCAAACAATATAAGTAATATCGAGAATAGTTTACCTTTGTTATTTCTTTTTGAAAAATCTCCCAACAAAGACAAAATCTGACTTTATTGTTTTCGTCTTGGACATCCTTTTTTTGGAACTTTGAAAAACAAGTTTCCTTCTTTGTTCAAAGGATTAAATGCCAAAATTTTTCATTGTAATGTTTGTGAACTTGCAAAGCATAGACGTGTGTCTTTTCCAATTAGCAATAAAAGAACTTCTACTCCTTTTTATTTGATTCATAGTGACATATGAGGTTTCTCTACAATTCCTAATATTTCTAATGCAAGGTGATTTGTTTCTTTCATAGAGGATTGTACCAAGATCTCTTGGGTATTTTTACTTAAATCCAAATAAGATGTGGATAGTGTGTTTTTAAGCTTCCAAAACATGATCCAGAATCAATTTGGAGTGAAAATCAAGAGATTTAAGTCTGATAATGCAAGAGACTAATTCAAATAGAGTTTATCTACCTAATTCCAAAAAAAGGAGATTATCAATAAGTTATCTTGTGTTAATACTCCACAACAGAATGGTGTGACAGAGAGGAAAAACAGTTATTTACTAGCCATAACCCGAGCTTTACTTTTTCAAGCAAATGTACCCAAATCCTATTGGGGGAAACTATTCTCACTGCCACACATATTATAAATAGGTTACCTTCAAGGGTTTTGGGATTTAAAACTACTATGGAATTACTCTCACAATTCTATCCCAACTTTAATACCACAAACAACCTCACACCTAGGATATTTGGTTGTATATCATTTGTTCATGTTCACAGTCATAATAGGGGGAAGTTGGATCTTAAAGCAATTAAGTGCATTTTTTTAAGGTATTAATAAACTCAAAAAGGGTATAAGTAATATCATCATCCTACTAAAAAATTATGTATCTGCAAATGTCACTTTTGAAGAAAGTAAACTATTTTTTACTCAACCTTATCTTCAGAGAAAGACTTCATTCATGGAAAATAAGGATAAAAATTTCTTTTTTCTTGATTTGTACTCCTCTTTAACAGTTTCACCCATTAACTTTTTTGAGTCGAAACCTGTTTCTTCTCAGTCTAAGTCAAATACTGAATTTGACTTTGAACTCATTCCAAACACAGAAGATGTGACAAAGGAAAATATTGTTCTTGATTCTATGAAGGAATTACAGGTGTACTCAAGAAGGAAAGTTCCAGATCTTGAACCAGTGCAAGACTAAAAACCTGAACCCTAACTCTGGAAATAAGATAACTATAGTCTTAGACTTTGTTCCTCAAAATGAGCATGAATCTCCTAAAACTATAACTAGTGATTATGATCTATCTATTGCCATTAGGAAAAGAACCACAGAAATGTACTAAGCATCTATTATACCCAATCTTTAATTTTGTGTCATTTGAAAAATTCTCACCACCCCACAAAAACTTCCTTGTGAGCCTAAACACTATTTCTATTCCAACTACATTATCCGAGGCATTATCCAATGAAAAATGGAGGCCCTTAGAGAAAAATAAGACATGGGAACTTGGTAGACTTGCCTAAAAGAAAAAATCTAGTTAGGTGTAAATGGGTTTTCGTTGTAAAATACAAGGCAGATGGTACTGATGAAAGGTATAAAGCCAAGTTGGTGGCTAAGGGCGACACTCAAACTTATAGAGTGGATTATAAGGAAACTTTTGCTCTAGTTGCCAAGATAAATACACTTAGGATTTTGTTATTATTGGCTGTAAATTACAATTGGCAGCTTCAACAATTTAATGTAAAGAATGCTTTTCTACATGGTAATTTGGAAGAAGAAATATATATGAAGGTTCCATCAGGATTTAGAGATCATCTAGAAGCAAACAAAGTATGCAAGCTGAAAAAGGTTTTATATGACTTTAAACAGTCTCCTAGCGCTTGGTTAAGGAGATTTACCAAAGTGATGCTAGCAATGGAATATAAACAGAGTCAAAGAGATCACACATTGTTTATCAAGCACTTTAATTCAGGAAGAGTCATAGTTCTATTACTGTATGTTGATGATATAACTGTAACTGAAAATGATGAAAAAGAGACAGAATCTCTAAAGCAGTGTTTGACTAGAGAATTTGAGATAAAAGAGCAAGGGAGATTGAAGAACTTCCTAGGAATTGAAGTAGCTCACTCACATTATGGTATTTTCATCTCACAATAGAAATATGTGATGGATCTTTTGAAGGAAACTAGGAAGCTCGCATGTATACAGTCTCCTAGGGCTTGGTTCGGGAGATTTGCCAAAGTGATGCTAGAATTGGGATATATGCAGAGTCAAGGAGATCACACATTGTTTATAAAGCACTTTAATTCAGCAAGAGTCGTAGTTCTATTAGTGTATGTTGATAATAAAACTATAACCGAATATGATGAAAAAGAGACAGAATCTCTAAAGCAGTGTTTGACTAGAGAATTTGAGATAAAAGAGCAAGGGAGATTGAAGAACTTCCTAGGAATTGAAGTAGCTCACTCACATTATGGTATTTTCATCTCACAATAGAAATATGTGATGGATCTTTTGAACGAAACTAGGAAGCTCGCATGTAAACAGTCTCCTAGGGCTTGGTTTGGGAGATTTGCCAAAGTGACACTAGCAATGGGATATAAACAGAGTCAAGGAGATCACACATTGTTTATCAAGCACTTTAATTCAGGAAGAGTCATAGTTCTATTAGTGTATGTTGATGATATAATTGTAACCGAAGATTATGAAAAAGAGACAGAATCTCTAAAGCAGTGTTTGACTAGAGAATTTGAGATAAAAGAGCAAGGGAGATTGGGGAACTTCCTAGGAATTGAAGTAGCTCACTCACATTATGGTATCTTCATCTCACAATAGAAATATGTGATAAATCTTTTGAAGGAAACTAGGAAGCTCGCATGTAAACAGTCTCCTAGGGCTTGGTTCGGGAGATTTGCCAATGTGATGCTAGCAATGGAATATAAGCAGAGTCAAAGAGATCACACATTGTTTATCAAACACTTTAATTCAGGAAGAGTCATAGTTCTATTAGTGTATGTTGATGATATAATTGTAACCGAAGATGATGAAAAAGAGACAGAATCTCTAAAGTAATGTTTGACTAGAGAATTTGAGATAAAAGAGTAAGGGAGATTGAAGAACTTCCTAGGAATTGAAGTAGCTCACTCACATTATGGTATTTTCATCTCACAACAGAAATATGTGATGGATCTTTTGAACGAAACTAGGAAGCTCGCATGTAAACAGTCTCCTAGGGCTTGGTTCGGGAGATTTGCCAAAGTGATGCTAGCAATGGAATATAAGCAAAGTCAAGTAGATCACACATTGTTTATCAAGCACTTTAATTCAGGAAGAGTCATAGTTCTATTAGTGTATGTTGATGATATCACTGCAACCGAAGATGATGAAAAAGAGACAGAATCTCTAAAGCAATGTTTGACTAGAGAATTTGAGATAAAAGAGCAGGGGAGATTGAAGAAATTCCTAGGAATTGAAGTAGCTCACTCACATTATGGTATTTTCATCTCACAATAGAAATATGTGATGGATCTTTTGAAGGAAACTAGGAAGCTCGCATGCAAAACAGTCTCCTAGGGCTTGGTTCGGGAGATTTGCCAAAGTGATGCTAGCAATGGGATATAAGCAAAGTCAAGGAGATCACACATTGTTTATCAAGCACTTTAATTCAGGAAGAGTCATAGTTCTATTAGTGTATGTTGATAATATAACTATAACCAAATATGATGAAAAAGAGACAGAATCTCTAAAGCAGTGTTTGACTAGAGAATTTGAAATAAAAGAGCAAGGGAGATTGAAGAACTTCCTAGGAATTGAAGTGGCTCACTCACATTATGGTATTTTCATCTCACAATAGAAATATGTGAAGGATCTTTTGAAGGAAACTAGGAAGCTCGCATGTAAACAGTCTCCGAGTGCTTGGTTCGAGAGATTTGCCAAACCGGTGCTAGCGATGGGATATAAGCAGAGTCAAGGCGATCACACATTGTTTATCAAGCACTTTAATTCAGGAAGAGTCATAGTTCTATTAGTGTATGTTGATGATATAATTGTAACCGAAGATGATGAAAAAGAGACAGAATCTCTAAAGTAGTGTTTGACTAGAGAATTTGAGATAAAAGAGCAAGGGAGATTGAAAGACTTCCTAGGAATTGAAGTAGCTCGCTCACATTATGGTATTTTCATCTCACAATAGAAATATGTGATGGATCTTTTGAACGAAACTAGGAAGCTCGCATGTAAACAGTTTCCTAGGGCTTGGTTCGAAAAATTTGCCAAAGTGATGCTAGCAATAGGATATAAGCAGAGTCAACGAGATCACACGTTGTTTATCAAGCACTTTAATTCAAGAATAGTCATAGTTCTATTAGTGTATGTTGATGATATAATTGTAACCGAAGATGATGAAAAAGAGACAGAATCTCTAAAGCAGTGTTTGACTAAAGTATTTGAGATAAAAGAGCAAGGGAGATTGAAGAACTTCCTAGGAATTGAAGTAGCTCACTCACATTATGGTATTTTCATCTCACAATAGAAATATGTGATGGATCTTTTGAAGGAAACTAGGAAGCTCGCATGTAAACAGTCTCCTAGGGCTTGGTTCGGGAGATTTGCCAAAGTGATGCTAGCAATGGGATATAAGCAGAGTCAAGGAGATCACACATTGTTTATCAAGCACTTTAATTCAGGAAGAGTCATAGTTCTATTAGTGTATGTTGATGATATAATTGTAACCGAAGATGATGAAAAAGAGACAGAATCTTTAAAGCAGTGTTTGACTAGAGAATTTGAGATAAAAGAGCAAGGGAGATTGAAGAACTTCCTACGAATTGAAGTAGCTCACTCACATTATGGTATTTTCATCTCACAATAGAAATATGTGATGGATCTTTTGAAGGAAACTAGGAAGCTCGCATGGAAACCTGCAAATACCTCTATAGATTCTACTGATAAACTTGGAGAAGCTGATGAAGATGCTGCTATAGATAGAGAGATGTACGAAAGATTAGTTGGAAGACTCATTTATCTCTCACGTACTAGACCTGATATAGCATACGTTGTGAGTGTAATAAGTCAATTTATGCATAGTCCTAAAGAAGTGCACCTAAAGGCTGTTTACCGTGTATTGCCCTATTTGAAGGCCAATCCTAGGAAAGGTATCTTATTCAAAACAAATTCGAGGTTGGTTTTAGAGGCATATACAGATGCTGATTACGTAGATTCAGTAACTGATAGAAGATCCATTTCAAGCTACTGCACTTTCCTAGGTGATAATCTTGTGACTTGGAGGAGTAAAAAACCAAATGTGGTGGCAAGATCAAGCACTGAAGCAAAGTTCAAAGCAATGGCTCAAAGAATTTGTGAACTACTATGGTTAAAGATTATCCTAGAAGACTTGAAGATCAAGAGGGAAGGACCAATGAGACTCTACTGTGATAACAAGTCTACAATAAACATTGCACACAATCCTGTGCAACATGACATGACAAAACATATTGAAGTAGACCGACATTTCATAAAGAAGAAACTAGACAATGGGTTGATTTGTACACCACATGTATCAACCAAGGGTCAACTTGCAGATATGTTGACTAAAGGTCTTAGCAGTGCAACATTTCAATATACTATTTCCAAGCTAGGAATGAAAAACACCTATTCATCAGCTTGAGGCGGAGTGTGAAAAAACACTTATTTATAGCTGATTGTAATTTTGTAATCTGTGTATTTATATTTATATCTCTAGAATTAAGTATTTGCATCCCTAAAATTAAGAACAAAAAATTAGGATAAACAATCCCTCAATTATAGGATCTGTTTTAGGAAGATTTAGTTTCTTAGTTTACCCACTAGTTAGTTGTATATAAACTTAAGGGAAATTAGGGGCAGTTTTTCAATATACATTCAGTTTTACTCTTAGTTTTTCACATAATTTTATTTCTTAGCTTTTCTACAAGAGCTTTTTTTTTTTTAACAATATGTTTATATTTTGAAAAGTCCATACAAAAACTGCATAAAAAATTATTCAGCATCTATGATGGTACTTGATTACAAAAGAGCGAGAACTGAACTCTATTTAACATGCTCCTATTACATATTTTGGCAACTGAAATTATATTCAAATTTAGACAATACAATATCAAAGCGAGACCATTCAATAATTTAACATATCCTATATCAATGCACTCAGTTGGCTTCAAAATTACAAGGAATTGATGCCATAATAGTTTGGTTAAAAACCAAGCAACAAGCTTTGTTGAGGATCAAACCTTAACCAGACATACAAATGATGGCGCAATAGTTGCAAAAGCTTCTCTGGCATTAAATGTGGAGCTTCCCCCTGGACAAGGATAGGAAATATAAATCCTGCATTCAAGGACATAATATTAGATAGTAAGAACTTATGCTGCCCAAATAGTCCAACCATATATAGGGTAAAAGATTCATTTAAATAAAACTTTGTTTTTAGTTTAGAAAGCTTAAAAGTTTGTATTAATTTTGAGAATCTCATCAATGAATTGTACTAATGAGTCCAGAATGAATGGTCAGATATGAATAAGACAACTTGATACTGTAACAAGCCAAAAAAGCAGTTAACCACATGAAGATACAAATCAAAATTGTATTTAAAAAAAAAAAAAAACTACCTCTATAATAAGAATCATATATCAAAAGCACTGCTTTCTATGATCAGATACACATCCTTAAATTATGTGTAGCCCTACACTCTTTTTAATCTTTGAGAGGATCCATTCCAGGTTATCCTGCATGATTTTTCCTCAAGTTACCGAGTCTTAACCATTGCTGTCAAAACAAAAATGGAAGACATAAAAGATAGTAGTGTTAAATTCTTTGGAAAATAAAGTGTTTAAATACAAGAAATAAATCTCAATATCATGTTTTTAAAAAGAATAAAGAAAAAAAAAACATATTTTATCAATATTATGTTAGGTGAAAAAGGAATGATTAAGACTTCTTGAATTTATTGAAAGGACTAAAACATAAGAGTTTAGACACCTTAGCCTCCTAGAATTATCAATCCCTACTTAAGCAAACAATAAGAATACATTGCAATCAAGCACTTAAAACCCCAATTTGCCAAATTAAAAAATAAAATTCAAATAATTTTAACGATAAAGAAAATTCAAGTTGGTATTAGAGGTCCTTTATACCAACCATTTTTATCAACTCTGTTAATGTTTTGATGCTATTTCCATTTATGTATGTTTAAGTGATAAGTAAAATTCTATATGATCAAAATAGACCATTTAATGATAAGGATAATTCAAGCTATTATTAAAAGTTATGTTCAGCTACAACATTTATTAGATGTCACTAATAAGTCGACACTAAAAATCAATATCCTTGTAGTGAAATAACATGGTAGATTAGAAAATGTTCACTGCTAAAATAAAGCCCAAAAAAAAAAAAATCCATATATTCCACTCAATTTTCATATACAACCCAATTAACAAGACTGAAACCTGTTTCAAATTCCAAACAATCTAAGAATTTTCATTTTTTTATACATGTGAAATAAATAAAAAATTAATTTTCATTCCATATATTTTGCAGAAGACATTAATTTAAATTATAAAATAATTTAATTTTTCCTTCATAGGTAATCTTCTCTAATTATTATATTCAACATCTCATATTTAAAATGGAAAAATGTTGATTGCTATTAAAGAATCTCTTAATTGTGGGTGTATTAATTGCTAATAACTATGATATTATAATTAATCTTCAATTATTATACCTTTTATACATGTCCAAAGGAGTACATGTTCTAAAACTACCGATATTTTTTTCCTTATGTGAAATGGTTTATCACATGATTTTGTGTTTCAAAATTCTTATTTCTTCTTTTCTTGCTTTTTATCTTGATAAGTTATTGAGCATTTTAGAGACAGAGATCTATATTAGATCAGACAAGACCCGAAAAATTGTTAGGTAAGAATCAACAATATTAAATTCTGAAATAGTTCATTTAAATGAATGCAATGTTTTCTAATTTTTTACTAGGTAGAAAAATAACTCAAAAACTTCTTTTTTGTTCCCATAAGAATAAGGCAACTCAAAAAAAAAAAAATTATGAAGCAATCATGTATATAATAGTGGTTTGCTATTAATATGTAATTCAAGAAAGAAAATTAAAGATTATTATGCAAAATCAATTAGAATTTAATTCATAATTCCTATGTCTTCAATCTTAATTTATTTAATAAACCAATTGACTCCATACTAAGATTTGATGTAACCTATATGTCTCTTTAATTTCTAATTTAGTGTGAGAAAATCAATTGGCTTACATCCAACCAAATGTATAATGAAGAGATCTCATACGTATGGAATAAAGAAAGAAAAAAAAAAGGCAAAAAAATTCACTTGCTGTTCTTGTTAATTGTGACACTATTTTCATTTATGTATGTTTGAGTGGTAAGTAAAAATCTATATGATCAAAATATACCATTTAATGATAAGCAAAATTCAATATTAAAAGTTATGTTCAGCAACAGCATTTATTAGATATCACTAATAAGTCGACACTAAAACTCAATATTCTTGTAGTGAAATAACATGGTAGATTAGAAACTGCTTACCGTTAAAATAAAGCAAAACAAAATCAAACAAAATTCCATGTATTACACCCATTTTTCATATACAACCCAATTAACATGATTGAACCCTGTTTCAGTTCACTATTTAAAAATGCCAAATTCCAAACAATCTAAGAATTTTCATTTTCAAAAAGAGAAAGAGACAAAAAAGCTTCCTTGACCCCAAAAGAACGTTTTAATTGAACTAAAATCTAATGCAATGGAAAATAAAGAGAATAGAATTCAAAATAAAAACCCTAATTTCAAGGTTACGAGGAAGCCGTTACCTTTTGGGAGATTGAAAACCCTAATTACAAACGCCTTTGCAATATGTGAATTGATGGAAGAGAGATTGCACCTTTGAAGAAGTTTTTTGGGAATTTTTCTTTTTTTTTTTCTTTTTGAGGGAGGGGTGGAATTTTGGGGGTTAAGGGAAGATTTTGGTGAGGATGGTGAACTAATACGGCAGCGTTTGGAAGAAGCGTGTGGTTCATTATGGGCCTCTTGTCTGGGCCCAGTTGAACAACAAAGAGGAACCGATCTGGGCTTTTTGAGTAATTATTTTATATTTTGCCATTCATCATGGTTAGTTACCATTTTCATTTCCGGAAGAGAAGTAGAAAGAGTGAAGAAGAATGGTAAGGGTGTCGTTTGGCGGGTCGAACAAAGCGGCGGCAGCGGCGGCGGCGGCGGCGGCTGCGGCAGCAGCAGCAGCGGCTAAGACGGTTTTGATAACCGGAGTGAGCTGAGGACTTGGTAGATCCTTAGCTCTTGAGCTTTCCAAGAGAGGCCACACCGTTATCGGGTGCTCCCGCTCCCAGGATAAACTCAACTCCCTCCAATCGGAGCTCTCCTCCCCCGACCGTCACCTCCTCCTCAATGTCGATGTGGTCCGCCCCTATTCCCTAATCCATTTCTATGTCTTCTACACGCAGCTCTATTTTTTTTAATCTGTTTTGGATTTGCTGAGTTCAAATAGCAGCGTTAAGGAGCTGGCCCGAGTAGTAATGGAAAAAAAGGTTGTTCCAGACATAATAGGTATTGCTCTTTGCTTCAGCATTTTAGGGTTTTATTCTAATTTTTAATTCTCGTCCAAAATAGAAAATCCTAGATTTCCTTTGAAATTTGAAATCTCTTTAACTGCTTTTGGAACAGTTTCAATTAAATTACGGTAAAAGGAATATGGAATGTTGAGACATTATTCGGAGGAATTTAAGTATCTGACTGAGTAATCATTAATAAAAAATGCTTATACATTGTCTTGAACTACAATTAAGGCGAGTAAATCATTTTTCGAGGAAGTTTTGGTTTAGGTTTTTCACTAATCGAATCATTCTCTCTGTAGTCACATTAATATTTGAAAAACCACTATTAATCAAAAAAATGTTAAGATAGAGCAATTGTCTTGTTTAGCTTTATGTCTGTTTCTTTTTCTAAAAGTGGAGTGCTTGTAAATTTATAGCTTAAGGGCACATTTCATGCTAAGCTGAATGTCCCACAGTTTCTGCCTCTTTCGGTCTTTACTGACATTAAGGTATTGGCAGTAAATAATGCAGGTACAATCAATAAAAACAACAGAATTTGGGAGGTTCCTGTAGAAGAGTTTGATGCCGTTATTGATACAAATGTGAAAGGGATTGCAAATGTGCTGCGCCACTTTATCCCTTTGATGATTCCAAAAAGTCGAGGGATTATTGTTAATATGTCTTCTGGATGGGGAAGATCTGTTTCTGCCCTGGTAAATTCACGATTTTCATCTTCGACACAATTCATATATTTTAAATTTATCCTCATTTTAATTTCCATGATTAATATGGGAAACCATGCACGATTTAGCCGAACCAGAAGTTCCTAATTGTTTATCTGAAATAAAGGAACCATTGTTGAAAACAGCAGTGATGAATTTATGGGCAGTTGTTGAAATTTTTTTGAAGCTTTTAGAGGGAAGCACATAGACACCCTAGTTTTAAAGGACATGGATTTGCTTTATTCTTATCTTAATAAGTTATGACTTATGAGCTGGTAATATTTCCTCTTCCAGCAACTCCTACCGCTATTATGGCTTCCAGGGTGGGGGGAAGACAAAGAATGTCAAGTTCTTAATTTCAGAAATCTGTTTTATTCTTAAACTGTACTAAACCTTTCCAGTAATAGTGAACCAAATTTGAACATGCTTGTATCTCAATAGGTTGCACCATACTGTGCGTCAAAGTGGGCTGTTGAGGGTTTAAGCAGAGCAGTGGCAAAGGAGATGCCAGATGGGTTTGCTGTTGTAGCAGTTAGTCCAGGTGTGATAAATACCGAAATGCTTCAATCTTGCTTTGGAAATTCAGCCCAATATTTCAGACACCTGAAGCATGGTATGCGAATTTTTCTTTTAAGTTTTAGTAAGATTTAATCTATTTTACATATGCAGTTGTGCATGTAAGTTATCATACCAATTTTAATATATCCTAGAATCATATAGAAAGGACGATAAATAGAGCTAAAATGTCTTTCAGTTCATGTCAAATGCATCAAAAACCTCTAAGCTTGAATGGTTTGCAATTCTTTAGGAAAACTAGTCTCATAATTCAACTCATTGGGCCATTATAAACATCAAAATAGTCTCTCACCTCTCTGCTTCTTATAATTTGCTTAAATAAATAGATTTTTGCACAATTAATGGTTCGGATATATAATATGGTTTCATGGCAGTTGAAAAGAACAATATAGTTGCGAATATCTTTGCTTTATTTCTCACTTCAAAGATTGTTTGCATTTCTTAGATAGCGAGTACTGTAGATTGCTTTACTGGATTAGAACCTCGAAAAAGTTTCTTGTAAAAAAAAAATAGCGAATAGGCTATTTGTGACCGGGGTTTTATGTAGGAGCTGAACTATTGGTGTCATTTTTCCTTTCGATATCTGTCTATCTTACATAGCAACAGATTGCCATCCTTAGCAAACTTTGGCATTCCCTTAGAAACTGTGTATTAGGTTCAAAATCTTCAGTTTAGCAACTTGAAAGAGATTGTGCACCCTTGCCTTGCATCCAACTCAGGCTTATAATCTGAAAAGTTTTTTCCCAAAATTTTTTAAGCGCAAGGGACATCTTTAGATTACTATGCACAACCACAGTAGTTTGTTGGCAAAACTCTTTTCATGGGTAGACCAAATAGCACAATTTCCAATGACATGATAAAGTTATAAACTTGGATTAACGAAAGGATGAATTGCTTCTGCAAATTCTCTTTGTGGCACTATCCAAAAACTCTTCTCACCACTATTAACTGTGAATAGCTTCCTTCTCTAGGACTAGGAGAGACAAAGAAATAGAACTTTTTTATGCACTAGTGCTTAAATTAAAATTAGAAAATTTTCAACCTCTTACACCCTTCTTGATCCTTGGCATTTAATTTTTTTATTCACATAATTCTAGGTTGAATTCAACTTCCTAAGTTGGATGAGAAGTCAAAATTATTCATTATGCAACTCATTTTTGTTCCTTTTAGTCCTCTAGCATGGTGGATGATGAATATGTTTGGCTGTATTTGAGATGTAAGTTAATTAAGGCATGAAGATCATAGCTCTCTTTTGCGAGAGTGTAGTTGGTCTTTTGATCATTGCTACCAATCATTAGTGCGCCTCTGTAACTCGCTTCTCTCTTGCTTCCTTCAAAAATATTGATCAGGGGTTCAATCTCCCAAAGACAAAAACTAGGGATTTGGTTTACTCCATGATGACTGGCCATACTGCTATATCAATATAGGAGTCATAAGGGGGAAAGGAATAAAGAATAAAAACAAAGAAAATCACTCTAGATCTCAAGAGGTGCTTTTACTTTGAATTTACTCATTGAAAAACTTTATTGTGCTTAGGAGAATCATGCAAAGAGTTAAGAGACCGCGACAACGAGAAACATAAAGTTTGAGAATGGATTGAAACTGTTTAGGAATTACGAGTTCTATTGACCTATCTGGAATGTCTCTAAACTTGGGATTAAGCTTTTATCCTGCCAACCATATTTGACGGTCAATTCAACCTTTAGCCTTGACTATGGTCCTTTGAATTTTGGATTTGACTGACGTTAATGGCTATCTTCATTTATCAGTTTAAATCCATTATCTTTTCTTGTTAAGCCATATTCAATAATTTGTTAGCAAAATTTACTTCTATTTTATTATTTTGCTAAGATTATCAGCATGGACTGTATATTTTTCAGAAAACTTCATGAGTTTCTATCATATGTTATGAGATGAAAATATTTAATAAGTAGCTTGATTTTTGAATGTCACAAATTGCAGATGAGAAGAAAGTATAACTATAAGAAATCACATGCCTCTAAAGTTATGTTTAGGTATCTGTCAAATTAAATGAATAACATAATTTATTTAATAAAATATTACTCATTTGTATGTATTATAAAATAAGCAAATTTCCATTTTAACATAGCCTAGGGGTAAAATCTAGTATTCTTACATAAAATGCTTGGAGTAGTTTTTTTTCTTTCAACTTTCATGTTCATGCTATTTTGCCTTATGGTCTGAGAGGTTGATATGTTTTTCACTGGGGCCATCGATTAATCAGGTCTTTGAAGGCAGCTACAATGATAATCAATCTCACTGCAGCAGACAATGGTGCGTACCTCACTATCTAATGAAAGAACACAACTAACATTTTAGATTCAATTCGTCTCATGGTTATGACCATAAGCCTTGGAACAACCAAGTTTGGAATTTCCTTGTGATGCCTGTAAAGAAATCTCTACACACATTTTCCATTAGGTAAACATCAGTTTCCATCTTACATTTGAAGTTGATAAAGTTTGTTTACTAACAAATTCTAAGAGGTCAAACATTTTGGCTGGAAATTGTTAGACTTTACTTGAAAATTAATATGCAGCCAACTTTTTGAACTTTGAAGTCAGTTACTCCAGGATATTTGATAATTGTATGATGAATAAATTTTATTTCTTGGCATCAAAATCGGATATGTTGTATAAAAACGGGGAATCTATTCTTTTCATTTTAGAAAAAAATAATCTTGGCAATTGTGTAATGCTTACTCTTATACTTTTTGTTTACACTGTAGTTATATTCTTTGTTTCTCTCTTCATTTTTGGATTCCTATATAACGATAGCACCAAAGATCTTACTATTTCTGAAGGAATTGGAGTTACATCTCTTTTTTAGTTCCATTCAAGAGTTCTTATGTTTCCACGACCCTTTTAAGATCCCAAACTTTGTACAAATTTGTACAAAGGTAATGTTAACCCCATGATTAATTACTTCATTTATGAATTTTATAGTAATAGAAATACATGTGCTTCCCTCTTGCCTAAATTACCATATATAACATAAAATTTCTGCATCTATTACTTCTATTCAAACCTCCTGGGCTGTCATTATACCCCAAGTAAAAAGAATTATAATTCCCAGCCCACCTAAAATTCTAAAAATTTGTTGATAGTTCGATTCTAAAATTTGTTGATAGTTAGAATAGATTAGTAGACCAGGTCCAATAAATCATCTTGAATTTAAAATAGTTGTATATGATCCTTTCCTATAATTGTTTTGTTCTCTTGCGTTTATTTCACCAACTTTGCTTTTCTGAACAATCTTTTTTATCTTTTTGAGTGATATTAAAAAATTGCCATAAATCCATTCGGTCATCATTGTGGGTTTTGTATGCTTTTCTATTTATTTATTTATTTTCTGAGAGTTGCTTTATGCTTTGGAAATTTGAAAATTCATTTGTTCAGTCTTTATAGATTGTTATTTGTCCAATACGTTTGAATTTGGTGGTACGAAAATTATGAAATTACCTTCAAACCGAAAGAGAAATAGGTTATTTTTAAGGAAACAGACGTACAGAAGCCAAAATTTCATCAAGTTACATGTGAATTCATAAACCTAGATAAGACCCTTTCCAGATCAGATTTTCAATTTCCAGCAAGTCCTAAAATAACCATGGTACTCTGACACTGAGAACTAAGTAAAACAGAGCATAAAATAAGCTACAGCCTTCTATTCCATCCAAATATAAAGGATGATACTAACATCCATCGCTTGAATAAAGCCCTAAACTGGTCCAACTGAATAATCAGATTCCCTGATACATAATATAGGCTTGACCGGAAAGTCGTTTACATCAATTACCAAAATTAGTTGGGGAACACTTGAACTGCACTTTGTAGGAATAAAAGGTGGAAGCAAAATTTTTTATTCTATAGTTAGGCTATTCCATGCCATCTCATTTGCAACATGGGATGAGAGTTGAGGCAATTTTCCTTCCACCTATTATTTTTCCTTCCCACCAAACACACCCTTCCTATAGTTTATCTTACACACTTAGGCTCCATTTAAATAGACAATGAAATTAATTACAGTGAGATTAAAAACAGTAATAAAAATTACTATAGTTATGATGGAAAAAAATTCAATGAAAAATTTATATTGAATGGATTTAACTGAAATTAATATTTGAATTTAATTAATGGTGAGAAGAGTTCAATCTAATACAGTAGAATCCAAATGGGCACTTAATTAAATGTGGAGCTTCCCCCTTGACAGGGATAGGGAATATATATCCTGCAATCAAGGACATTATATTAGATAGTAAAAACTTATGCTGCCCGAATAGTCCAACCATATATAGGGAAAATGATTAATTTAAATAAAACTTTTTTTTAGCTTAGAAAGCTTAAAAGTTAGTAATTTTGAGAATCTCATCAATGAATTGTACTAATGAGGCCAGAATGAATGTTCATATATGAATAAGATAACTTGATTCTCCTACAAGCCATAAAAGCATTTAACCACACATAAGGATAATAACGATTTTGTTTGAATTGAATTTGATTCGATTTTTTCAGATATTATATAATATTATAAAAATTTAAAATTTAATTTGAATTTACTAAATTTTTATTTGATCTATATCGAACCGAACTGAATTTTACCAATTCGTTCAATTTATCGATTTTTAATTTTTAATTTTTTAATGTTTATATATTATTTTAATATAAAATTTTAATATATTTAAGTAAATTTTAATATAAAATTATTATTTTTATGTTATGTAAATTTAAAATATATATATAAAAATTAAAAAATATATATAATTCGATTTGATTTTTTTTTAATTAAATTTGATTCGATTTTTTCAGATATTACATAATATTATAAAAATTTAAAATTCAATTTGAATTCGAACCAAATTTTTATTTGATATATATCGAATCGAATTGAATTTTACCAATTCGTTTGATTTATCGATTTTTAATTTTTAATTTTTAATTTTTTAATGTTTATATATTATTTTAATATAAAATTTTAATATATTTAAGTAAATTTTGATATAAAATTATTATTTTTATTTTATAAAAATTTAAAATATATATAAAAATTAAGAAAAATATATAATTCGGTTCAATTTTTTTTTTTTCAATTTTTCATCTCTCAATCCGAAATCTGATCCGAATCTAATATATACATTTAATATCTAAATTTGATTCGATCTAAATAAAATCTAAATAAGAAAAAAATCGATCCAAACCGAGTGGCACACTACAGTTTTGAATTAAATTTTGGATTTCTGAGTATTTTTTTTTCTCGCCCCTAACCACATGAGAATATGAATCAAAATTATATTTAAAAAAAAAAAAAAAGCCACCTTTATAGTAAGAATCGTATATCAAAAGCACTGCTTTCTATGACCAGATACACATCTTTAAATTATGTGTAGCCCTACACTCCTTTTAATCTTTGAGAGGATCCATTCCAAGTTATCCTGCACGATTTTTCCTCAAGTTACCAAGTGTTAACCATGGCTGTCAAAACAGAAATGGAAGACATAAAAGATGGTAGTGTTAAATTCTTTGGAAAAAAAAAAGTGTTGAAATACAAGAATTAAATTCAATATCATGTTTTAAAAAGAATAAAGAAAAAAAAAACATATTTTGTCAATGTTATGTTGGCTGAAGAGATTCAAGAAAAATTAAGAATAGTTCGAATTAAAAGGAAATAAAAGAGGGTCATTTATGATGGTTTGGACATGTGAAACGTAAGCTTAATTGTGTACCAATTAGGAGAATTGAATCCCTAGATCTATGAGAGATCAAAACATTTAAAGATAGCGCACGAAAGATATGGATGCAACTAACAAAAAAAGATTTGATGGTTAAAGAATTAGATAAAAAGGTAGTTGTTGATAAAAATAAGTGGTATAAGAAGATTTAAACTACAATCTAACATGATTTTCTTATACGGTTTTTTATACAACCGACCCCAAAGTATGGGATAAAAGGTTAGTGTGTTGTTGTATTATGTTGGGTGAAAAATGAATGAGTAAGACTTCTTGAAGTCATTGAAAGGACTAACACATTAGAGTTTAGACACCTTAGCCTCTTGGAATTATCAATCCCAATCTAAGCAAGCATGAATAAAAGAATATATTGCAATCAACCACTTAAAACCCCAATTTGCCAAATTAAAAAATAAAATTCAAATCATGTTCATGATAAGAAAATTCAAGTTGTTATTAGAGGTTCTTTATACCAACCATTTTTATCAAACTCCATTAATATTTTGACGCTATTTTCATTTAGGCATGGTTGAGTGATAAGCAAAAATCTATATCTACATGATCAATATATACCATTCAATGATAAGGAAAATTCAAGCTATTATTAAAAGTTATGTTCAGCAACAACATTTATTAGATGTCACTAATAAGTCGACACTAAAACTCAATATCCTTGTAGTGAAATAACATGGTAGATTAGAAACTGTTCACTGTTAAAATAAAGCAAAAAAAAAAAAAACAAATTTCATATATTCCACTCAATTTTCACGTACAAACCAATTAACAAGATTGAAACCTGTTTCGGTTCACTATTTTAAAATACCAAATTCCAAACAATCTAAGAATTTTCATTTAAAAAAGAAAAAGGGATAAAAAAGCTTCCTTGGTACCAAAAAAAAAAAACGTTTTAATTGAAAGCGAAACAACAAGAACAAGGGTTATTCACAAGCTTTTGAGATAAATTCTAATGCAACGGAAAGTAAAGAGAATAGAATTGAAAAAAAAAAAAAAAACCCTAATTTCAAGGTTATGAGGAAGCCGTTACCTTTTGGGAGATTGAAAAGCCTAATTCTGAGATCGTTGTTCAAGAATTAGAGACGCATTTGCAGTATGTGAGTTGATGGAAGAGAAAGTGCATCTTCGAAGAAGTTTATGGGTAATTTTCTTTTCTTTTATTTATTTATTTTTTTTTGGCAATTTCAGGAGTAAAGGGAAGATTTTGGTGAGGAAAGTGTACTAATACGACAGCGTTTCGAAGAAGTGTGTGGTTCACTATGGGCCTCTTTTCTGGGCCCAGTTGAACAATAAAGAGGAACGGATCTGGGCTTTTGGAGTAATTATTTTATATGTTGCCATTAAGCACGGTGCGTTAGCATTTTCTTTCCCGGGAGAGAAGCAAAAAAGATTAAAGCAGAATGATAACGGCGTCGTTTAGCGTGTCGAACAAAGCGGCGGCGGCAGCAGCAGCAGCTAAGACGGTTTTGATAACCGGAGTGAGCAGAGGGCTGGGTAGATCCCTAGCTCTTGAGCTTTCCAAGAGAGGCCACACCGTTATCGGGTGCTCCCGCTCCCAGGATAAACTCAACTCCCTCCAATCGGAGCTCTCCTCCCCCGACCGTCACCTCCTCCTCAATGTCGATGTGGTCCGCCCCTATTCCCTAATCCATTTCTATGTCTTCTACACGCAGCTCTATTTTTTTTTAATCTGTTTTGGATTTACAGAGTTCAAATAGCAGCGTTGAGGAGCTGGCCCGAGTAGTAATGGAAAAGAAGGTTGTTCCAGACATAATAGGTATTGCGCTTTGCTTCAGCATTTTAGGGTTTTATTCTAATTTTTAATTCTCATCCAAAATAGAAAATCTTAGATTTCCTTTGAAATTTGAACTCTCTTTAGAGGCTTTGGGAACAGTTCCAATTAAATTAAGTTAAAGGAATATGGAACGTTGAGACATTGTTAGGAGGAATTTAAGTATCTGACTGAGTAATCATTAATCAAAAGTGTTTATGCATTGCCTTTGAACTATACTTGAGGCCAGTAAATCATTTTCCGTCTGTCATGAGCGAAATTTTGGTTTAGGGTTTTCACTAATCGAATCATTCTCTCCGTAAACACATTAATATTTGAAAAACCACTTTTAATCAAACAAACCTTAAGATAGAGCAATTGTCTCGTTTAGCTTTATGTCTGTTTCTTTAGCTGAAAGTGGAATGCATATAAATTTATAGCTTAAGGGCACATTTCATGCTAAACAGAAAGTCCCACAGCTTCTGCTCTTTTGGTCTTTACTGACATTAAGGTATTGGCAGTAAATAATGCAGGTACAATCAATAAAAACAACAGAATTTGGGAGGTTCCTGTGGAAGAGTTTGATGCCGTTATTGATACAAATGTGAAAGGGATTGCAAATGTGCTGCGCCACTTTATCCCTTTGATGATTCCAAAGAGTCGAGGGATTATTGTTAATATGTCTTCTGGATGGGGAAGATCTGGTGCTGCCCTGGTAAATTCACAATTTTCATCTTCTATACAATTCATATATTTTAAATTTATCCCCATTTAATTTCCATGATTAATATGGGAAACCATGCACAATATTGCCCAATCAAAAGTTCCTAATTGTTTATCTGAAATAAAGGAACCATTGTTGAAAACAGCAGTGATGAATTTAGAGGCTGTTGGAATTTTTTTTTGAAGCTTTTAGAGGGAAGCATGTAGACACACTAGTTTCAAAGGAGCTCTATTCTTATCATAATAAGTTATGTCTTATGAGCTGGTAATATTTCCTCTGCCAGCAACTCTTATGGCTATTATCTCTAGAATGTAAAGTTCTTAATTTCAGAAATTTGTTTTATTCTTAAAGTGTACTAAACCTTTTCCAGTAATAGTGAACCAAATTTGAACATGCTTGTAACTCAACAGGTTGCACCGTACTGTGCATCAAAGTGGGCTGTTGAGGGTTTAAGCAGAGCAGTGGCAAAGGAGATGCCAGATGGGTTTGCTGTTGTAGCACTTAGTCCAGGTGTGATAAATACTGAAATGCTTCAATCTTGCTTTGGAAATTCAGCCTCAGTATATCAGACACCTGAAGCATGGTATGTGAATTTTTCTTTTAAGTTTTAGTAAGAATTAATCTATTTTACATATGCAGTTGTGCATGTAAGTTATCATACTAATTTTATTATATCCTAGAATCATATAGAAAGGAGGATAAATTGAGCTAAAATGTCTTTTAGTTCATGTCAAATTTATCAGCAATCTGTAAGTTCTAATGGTTTCCAATTGTTTAGGAAAACTAGTCTCTTATTTCAACTCGTTGGAAGATGAATTCCTCTAAGAATGCAATTATAAACATTTCAAAATAGGCTTCTAAGCTCTCTGCTTCTTATCTGTGCCTAATTTGCTTAAATAAATAGATTTTTGCGGAATTAAGAGTTCGGATATATAATATGGCATGTAGGCAGTTGCAAAAGAACAATATAGTTGAGAATATCTTTGCTTTAATTCTCACTTCAAAAATCGTTTGCATTTCTTAGGTGGAGAGTACTGTAGATTGCTTTAGCAGATTAGAACCTAAAAAAGTTTCTAGTAAAAAAAAAATAGTGAATGGGCTGTTTGTGACCAGGGTTTTATATGGGAGCTGAACTTTTGGTGTCATTTTTCCTTTTGATACATGTCTAACTTATGTAGCAATGGATTGCCATCCTTAGCAACCTTGGGTATGCCTGTAGAAACTGTGCATTAGGTTCAACGTCTTCAATTTAGCAAACATGAAAGAGAGTGTGCACCCTTGCCTTGCATGCAAGTCAGGCTTATAATCTGGCTTTTTTTTTCCAAAACTTTTTAAGGGTAAGGGACATCTTTAGATTACTCTGCACAACCACAGAAGTTTGGTGGCATAACTATTTTCATGGGTAGACCAAATAGCACACTTTCTAATGACATGATAAAGTGATAAACTTGGATTAATGAAAGGACAAAGTTCTTCCATAAATTCTCTTTGTGGCACTATCCAACAACTCTTCTTACCACTACTAACGGTGAATAGCTTCTTTCTATGGAACTAGGAGAGACAAAGAAATAGATCTTTTTTATGCACCAATGCTTAAATTAAAATTAGAAAATCTTCAACCTCTGACACCCTTCTCGTTGGATCCTTGGCATTTAATTTTTTATTCACGTAATTCTAGGTTGAATTGAACTTCCTAAGTTGGATGAGAAGTCAAAATCATTCATTATTTAACTCATTTTTGTTCGTTTTAGTCCTCTAGTATGGTGGATGATGAATATGTTTGGCTGTATTTGAGATGTAAGTTAATTAAGGCATGAAGATCATAGCTCTCTTTGGTGAGAGTGTAGTTGGTTGTTTGATCATTGCCACCAATCATTAGAGCACCTCTGCAACTTGCTTCTCTGTTGCTTCCTTCAAAAATATTGATCAGGGTTCAATCCCCTGAAGACAAAAACTAGGGATTTGGTTTACTCCATTATGATTGGCCATACTGCTATATCATTATAGGAGTCATAAGGGGAAAGGAATAACGAATAAAAACCAAGAAAATTACTCTAGATCTCAAGAGGTACTTTTACTTTGAATTTACTCATTAAAAAACTTTGTTGTGCTTAGGAGAATCGTGCAAAGAGTTAAGAGACCATGACAATGAGAAACATAAAGTTTGAGAATGGATTGAAACTGTTTAGGAAATGGGATCGGGAATGGGTGTAGTCTTGAGGAGTGAAGGCGTGTGGGGTTGGAAAAATAAATGGAGTCTAATTAAAAGGGAGAGATTTTGGGTGCATTTTAATATTTTCCTGTAATTTTGGAGGAAAGAAGGTTTTACTGGTGGAAGTTTTTAATTAGACAAACTGTGCTGCGAGGAAATTTGAGTGGAAATTTGTTTACTGGGGATGGGGGCAGCTTGAAAACTGGATCTGGGTTTTCAATTTCATGCCAACCTTTTAAATAAATTTAGAAAATTAAATTGCATTAGGAAATAAAAATTTATAACCTATTGAAGATAGATACGTGTAAAAACAGGCTCAAATAAATATTATAATCAGACTCTAGCTGGCTTAGCTTGAAGTATATTTAATTTTGTTTTTCTCATTTACTTGATGAACGTTGATAGGTACTCTTGTCAAACAATTAATAACTTATTTTTATCAACCTTGAGGTATGATTGAAGAATGTTAATGTTTTCTTACCTATCATATTTGTTAATTTATAAAGAAATCAAACACAATGAGTTACTTCAGATAATTTAGAGGAGGATTTGTTGGTTTAAAACTCTTATTTAATATTATAGTAAATTGTGAGGTTTATAACAGCAATATTTGTGGTCCACATTGCAAATCCAATGGCTGTTACTTTGCAACCATGAATGCAATTAAAGACTTGGTTGCGACTATTTGTAAATAGCTTTAATTAGCCTAGCCAGATTATTAAACCTAAAATATATTTCAGTCCATGTGAGTTTCATTATCTTTGAATTATTTCTTTAATTTGGTAGGTCCTCTTTCGCCTGCATTAATTTAATTTAGTATTGGTTTAATGCTGCACAAGAGCTTGTTATGATGATGGAGAGGATTTAGAAAGGAGAACCAAACAATATTGAGGGAGCTGAATGCAAGCAATAAGGAACACAAGAAATAAGAGTAACATTGGTAAGAAAGTGGATTGGAGCCTTGGAGGAATGGAAGGTTTAGTATTAGGATGTGAAATTCCATGACCTAGTCATCTCATTATCCATGATTTAGACTAAGTCATAGCTGCATAAAGTTTTGAATGATTAGATAAGTTGGTTGATCTTAGAATAATTAGATAAGCTAGTTTTAATCTTAGATTAGGATTTAATCCTGCTTAGATGATAAGCTACAGCTTATAATGAACACCAACACTTGTGTATAAATACCCTATACTTGACAGGATTAATTCAATCTTTTCATTCACTCAAATCATCTGTTCTCTCATAGGAGGATATAGGGGGGAGGGTTAAAAAGTGGAATGGAATCTGAGATATCTGGGGAAATTTTAGTTTTGTGGAAGAAACTGAAGGGAGAGGTGTTATGTTATCAAAATGAGAGTGAAAAATCTAAAATGAATGATTTGATGGTTCTAACAAGCAGTCTGCTTATTGACGGGAGACTTCTGTCTATCTCCTTCAATCAAAAGGAGCTATGTCACTGGAACAACTTAGCAATATCCAATTTGTTTCCGAATAGAAGAACATGTATTTTGGAGTGGCTGTAAGGAACTAGTATTTTGAAGTGGTTGTGAGGAACTAAGGTTTGAGTAAACCTTAATAATAATATAAAACAGAAGTAGACTCTTTTATTACTAGTTGTATTGACCTATCTGGAATGTCTCTAAGCTTGGCATTAAGCTTTTGTCCTGCCAACCATATTTGAGGGTCAATTCAACCCTTAGCATTGACTATGGTCCTTTGAAATTTGGATTTGACCAATTTTAATTGCTATCTTCATTTATCAGTTTAAATCCATTATGTTTTCTTGTTAAACTATATTCAATAATTTGTTAGCAACATTTACTCCTATTTTATTATTGTGCTAAGATTATTGGCATGGACTGTATATTTTTCAGAAAACTGCATGAATTACTATCATATGTTATGAGAAGAAAGTATTACTATAAGAAATCACATGCCTTTAAAGTTATCTTTAGGTGTCTGTCAAATTAAATGAATAACATTATTTATTTAATAAAATATTACTCGTGTATGTATTATAAAATAATCAAATTTCCATTTTAACGTAGCCCAGGAGTGAAATCTAATGTTCTTACACAAAATGCTTGGATTAGTTTTTTTTCTTTTAAGTTTGATGTTCATGCTATTTTGCCTTATGGTCTGAGAGGTTGAAGTGTTTTTCACTGGGGCCATCCTTTAATCAGGTCTTTGAAGGCAGCTACAATGATACTCAATCTCACTGCAGCAGACAATGGGGCTTCCCTCACTATCTGAAGAAAGAACACAACTGACTTTTTAGATTCAATTCATCTCATGGATATGACTATCTGTCCTGGAACAATCAAGTCTGGAATTTCCTTGGGATGCCTGTAAAGAAATCTCTACACAAATTTTCCATTAGTTAAACATTAGTTTCAGTCATACATTTGAAGGTGATAAATTTTGTTAACTAACAAATTCTAAGAGGTCTGTATTATGGCCGGAAAATGTTCGAGTTCACTTGCAGCGGCACTCTTATTTGAAAATCAATATGCATCCAACTTTTTGAACTTGAAGTCGGTTACTCCAGGATATACTTGATAATTGTATATGATTGAATATTATGACATCTACTAAATCCTCTTTGTTTATTTATTTGTTTTGTATATCTATCAGCCATAAATTCGATGCAATGGACTTTCGCTCTTGCACTAAACACTTGATTTGGAATGCCAACGAAGTGAAAGACACCAAATTTTGGCCAATAATTGTTTTGTTGTCTTGCGTTAATTTCACCGACTTAGCTTTTCTGAACAATTTTTTTTATTTTAAGTGATAATTGAAAAATTGCCATCGAATCCATTTGGTCATCATTGGGTTTTGTAGACTTTTCTTATGCTTTGCAATTTTGAAAATTCATTTGTTCAGTCTTAACAGATTGTTATTTGTCCGATACTTTAGAATCTGATGATACGGAAATTATGAAATTACCTTCAAACTAAAAGAGAAACAGGAGACAGCAGGTTATTTTCGAGGAAACAGACGTACAGAAGTCAAAAGTTCTTTCCCCATCCTTCTTCGTCTCCGGTCTCCGGCCATGCTGGTTGAATGTATATTTTTGGAGACTTAATTTATTTAGCTTTTATAAATTTTAAAAAGCAAAATTTGATATGATTTACCAACCGTCGGGGTAATTAAGTTTAGGAATGGCACTAGGACAGCTATGATTTGCTCTTCCAATAGGTCCCTAAAAGTGGACCTATCCATTTTCGGTACTAACACAAGCTAAAATAATATAAAATTAATATAATTTAAAATTTTAATAAAAATAAAAATATATTAAGAATGTTTCTTGTTTATCATAAATCATCGTACGATAATTTTTGTATTTTATAAATATTGTACACGAAATTATAAAAATTATACAAGACTCAAATAGGCAAATTACCAAATTTACCTAAAAAGTGTTGATTCTTAAAAATTTAGATCATGAACCGCACATAAAATAAAAAAATTTAACCATCCTAAAATCCTCAAATCGATCAAAAACATTTTCATTAGTTATGCCAACCCCTACCATAAATCTAGACCTGGAGTTTAAAAAAAAAATTCACTATCAATTCAGAACCTTTTTCCAACCAGAGAACGGTTAAAGGGGTAAAAAAAGGCTTTAATCATTTAGATTCAATACAAACAAATACATTTGTAGTATCTTAAAAAATATGGAAAATAAAAAATATATATAATTAATATATCAAAAATACATCTCAAAAGATCAAATGGCTGTAAACGCCACATATATCTACATACCTGTTCTAATTCTCAGACGCTACTCGATATAATCTGAGCTTGAGAAATGCTCGATGACAAGATCAAATGTCCACCCAAGATGAATGCATGAATGAAAAAGTGATTTAAGTTCTTACCTAGAATCTGTAAGATGAACCAGACTGGGGTGGTGCCGGTGGCAACCGAGTTGGTGTCCTGCGGCTGCTAGAGTTTGAACCAGAACCTACATCACCATTTTGTGCTGGGTCGCTATACCGTCTGCTATGACCATTGGCCCCATGTCTAGATGAGTCGACAGGTCCATTTGCAGCAGCGTCAAATGCAGACCTCCAGTCATCACCAGATGCAGGTGCAGTTGCCCGTGGGCTGCTTTCTGTATCTCAACAAAAGGGGAGAAAAACCATGTTGTTCAGGTATAGAACCAGAAAAATAAAATTAATACAGAAAAAAAGTGTACTACAGGTGAAATATAAATCGACATACATGCATACAATTATGGATTATTTGAAGATTTGCACCAATTTGACCAAATAAATAAATAAAAGGTTTTGCACCAGGGACATAGTATTAACATCTCAACAGACGCATAGTAAATGTGCATGCAACCATCTTTCCAAATAAATCGCAACATTTATTTACATGAACAGAACCACAAAAAAGCTACCTGCTACACTACCGTTAGACCAGCTGGAGGCAGCAGCTGCTTGATTGTCATGTATGCTAAGTTGCCTTGTAAGTTTTGAAAGAAGAGAGGACTGTTTTTGGTAACGCTCCCTCCTGCGCTTTACATTTTGGTCCTCCATTAGCAGTTCCTCCATCCTAGCATTGCTTATGGCACTAACCACCAAAACAGTTAAAGGGTGAAATTATTCCCTAGAGCAGAACTGAAATAACAATAAAGCATAAAAAGATACCCACAAAAAAAAAAAAAAGAAAAAAGAAAAAAATTGGCTTTCAACGACCAAGCATTGATGTCAATAGCATGATTAAAAGCTGCATTTCTTTGACCCAACTGCTGAATGGAATTCTTACCACATTAACCAAAAGTGATAGGTATATACATTTGCAACCCTCATTACCCATTTATTCATGACAGTATGAGCCTCTTCCTAATAAGAAATAAATATCAAGAAACAGACAGGAATAGAATATGTAAGGCAGCTAGGAAAACTTCAACAAATTTCAAAGTTAGTACGCATGGTAGGAAGGGAAGAAAGCTAGGGCCTTGAGGTTAATATTTAGGCTAATTTACGACAAAAGGATGAGATATTATGAGATCAATTATAATTTGTTAAGGGGTTTATTAGATTTTTTTTTTTTTTGGCAAATATAAAAGGTTGATTGGAAGAAGCTAAAGTTAAGGATCTAGTAAGCTGTTCAGAGGTCATTTTGGTGCCGTGAAAAATACTAAGTACAACATTTGGAGGTTTTAGTGTTGAGTATGATGGTGAATTCATGTGAGATAGAATACAGTGCCGGTCAGAATCAAGATTGATTTAGATGGAAAGAATGCTGGAAAATGGAAAGTAAACAATAAGAAACAAATAAGGGATGTAACAGTCATAAGAAGGTCTCAACCTCTCAGGGACTTCAACCGTAAGGTCGGAATTGCTTCACACAATCCCAAATAAAGCAGACGACCTACTGAAATATTCATTAGCTTGTGCTCTATTGATCGAAACAAGTTACATGTGAATCTATAGAGTTCAAATTTATGGTTATTCATATGAACACTTGCCATCCAAATGATAAGCTACCAAGAATTTTCCACCATAAACTTGAACCCCAAACCTAGATAATACCCTTTCCAGACCAATTTTTCAATTTCCAGCAAGTCCTAAAACAACCATAATACCCTGACACTGAGAACTAAGGTAAAACAGAGAGTAAACTAAAGCTACAGCCTTCTATTCCATCCAAATATAAAGCATGATACTAACATCTATCACTTAAATAAAGCCCTAAACCAGTCCAACTGAATAATCAGATTCCCTGATACATAATATTGGCTTGACCAAAATTTGTTTACATCAATTACCAATATCAGTGGGGGAACACTTGAACTGCACTTTGGTAGGAAGAAAAGGTGGAAGCAAAATTTTTATTCTATGGTTAGGCTATTCCATGCCATCTCATTTGCAACATTCTACTGTAGCCATTGGATGAGAGTTGAGGCAATTTTCCTTCCACCTATTTTTTTCCTTCCCACCAAACACACCTTACCACAGTTTCTCTTACACACTTAATTATCAAAATAGCTTTTTGTACAAGAAATAATTACCAAAAATATCGATTCTATCTTCAAAACAAATATCCAGTAGAATACATTTCAACTATGGAAAAACCGATGCCTCACAGAAAAAGATTATCACAACCAATGAACATTTTAACAGCAAATTTCTAGTGCGATTTTCACAAAGTAAAAAGAAGACAGAAGGAAGGTGATCTCTTTGTTAGTTGTTGCTCATACTAAAAAATATCATTCAGATATAGCTTAACAAGCATGTTTTTACAGGAAAAGGGGGCATTTTTATTCCTTGCAGGCTAGGGAATATAGATAGTACTGACCTAACAGAGCTATATAACTGAATAAGCATGTCTTCTTTCGCTTTCTCTACTTGGCAAAGAACAACAGCCTGCTTAAAAAAATGATGATCAGAATCAACACACTAGCATAAACACAAGAAAAGGTCATTCAAGAGAATAAACTGACCTTTGGAACATTGGCAGCAAGGCTGTTAAGAACAGCTTCTACATAACCACGTACTTCTTGGGACATCCACCGAAGCTCTTCTTCAGGATCAGCAGGTCTTCTTGCCATTGTATCCTGCAAGCGAAATATGCATAATGTTGAAGATGCATGCTCAGTAATAAAAATTTTGACAGATAAACTTGATCCCAGATTTTTGTTGATTAAGCTATGCATTGGCCACCTCACCAACAACTCCCTTCATATATATATATATATAGTGCTTTGCTAATAGAAAGGAGAAAAAGAATAAAAATAGGGAGAAAGATTATTTTCCACTCTGTCATAAAAAAACATTTCAGGTGATTTTTTTTTTTTTTTGGAATTTCCTTTTGATTCAAGCTACAGTTTTTTACTTTGTACCCAAAAAAAACTTTTGACTGAATATTTTCCCAACAAAAAGAAAAGGCCATTCTTATGCTTGTCAGCCAAACCTGTATCCATAGCTAAAAGTTGATTAAATCAAATTGAATAATCAAATTAGTCACAACAATCTAAACCAAAATACCCCTAATAATCAATAAAGTACTACAGAACTCCCCTGCACCCAAAACATAATCACATGACGAGTATAATATAAAAGAAACCAAATGGAATTAACCAATAACTCACAAGTGAACCATCCGATAGACTTTGCCTCATGGGAGGGCCAGATTCACCCTTCACTTGACCTCCTTTAGATTCAACAATATTTCTTAACTTTTCCAACCACTCAGCCTTATCTGCAAGGCTCTCAGCCTTTAACAGAACAGCACTGTGAGCTGCAAAATAAATTGAAGCATATAATGGCACGTAACTTAGTACAATAACAACCAAATCAATTTAAGGAAACTTGTAAAACCTTTCAAAACTGTCTTATAAGGAACCCTGCTAGTTATCTTGAAAACAAGACTGGGTCCTTTTTCAGCATCTGGTCCATTTGCCTTCCTATCCTTGGAACTTTTGGATGAGCCACCTTCTTCATCAGCAACTTCCCCAATGTTGCATTCCTGATGATTATATAATTAGAAAAGCAGCCATTGATATAGAGGACATACCAATTTATTTCATTATGAGCATTGTTATTGAGATCAAATCAATAAATCAAAGCAATATAAACTAGTCCTAATCAGCAATA